GAACTTACTACCCCCGGTTCCTACTGAACATCTGCTCTCGGATAGAGAATACTGTTTGGATCAAAATCAAAACAAAACCAGACAAAAATCCACGTGAAGGAGAGGAATCTTGTACTTCCTCTTGCAAAATCCTTTCCCCTTTTTATTGATCTCTGGAGTCTCCTGTAATCTCCGGGCTTACAGTAAGTATCTCCATCTTGGAGTCGCCTTTTCAAAGGAATTTGCTCTGTGTTAAGCTGCCCCTCACTGCAGTATTAGGGCCCTATCTCAGAAATGGGGAAACTCCTACAAACGAATCATTTGGAACAATTACAAGAGTCTCTGGGTGGCCGTTAGGGCAGCGGCTCTCAACCTTTTGTACTGAACATCTCACCAATTGCTGGATGAAAAACTTGGTTCCTATTATTATAGAAGCAAAAATACTACTCTTTCCAAAAGAGCATTTCCACATTGACTTGCATTCTGGCAGTTGCTTAGGACTTTTAGGAAAATACTGCTTCCCACCCAACTACTGTATAGGACAAGTTTACAATCTGTTGATCCCAGATGCAGAAGAATTATACCTTGGAAATCGATGTTTGGTGCTGTGGCTTAGGTGAGTAATATCTGATCTAGGCAACTGGTGAAAATGTTGATCTCGTTTACTTTATTACCCATATCTCTTAGAGGTACCCTGTAGTAATTTGTGCAGCCTGCCAACTATTGTGATCTTATATGCAAAGTCTTTTTTCCCCAGTTTTGTTGAGATATAATTGACATAACATTTTATTAGTTTAAGGTGTCCAACATAATCACTTGATATATGTATGTATTGCAAAATGATTACGAAAATAATTTTAATTAACATACCTCATCTCACGTAGTTACAAATGTTTTTCTTGCGATGAGAACTTTTTGTGTGTGTGTGAGGAAGATTGGCTCTGAGCTAACATCTGTTGCCGATCTTCCTCTTTTTGCTTGAGGAAGATTGTCACTGAGTTAACATCTATGCCAATCTTCCTCTATTTTTGTATGCGGGATGCCACCACAGCATGGCTTGATAAGTGGTTTGTAAGTCTGCACCTGGATCCAAACCAGTGAACCCTGGGCCACTGAATCAGAGCGCACAACCTTAACCACTACACCACTGGGCCAGTCCCGATGAGAACGTCTAAGATTTACTCTCTTAGTAACTTTCAAATATTCAATACAGTATTATTAACTATAGTCTCCATGCTGCACATTGTAACCCCAGAAGTTGTTTATCTTCTGAAAGGTGTTTATAACTGGAAGCTTGTACCTTTTGACCACCTTCACCCATTTTATTCACTCCCACCCCGCGTCTCTGGCAACCACCAATCTGTTCTCTGTATCTATAAGTTTGGCTTTTTTTAGGTTTCACATGTCAGTGAGATCACACAGGATTTGTCTTTCTCTGCCTGACATTTCACTTAGCACAATGTCCTCAAGGTCCATCCATGTTGTCACAAATGGCAGGATTTCCTTCTTTTTTTACGGCTGCATAATATTCCCTTATATAACACATTTGTTGGGCTTTATCCTCCAAAGTTTCTGACTCAGTAGGTCCAGGGTGGGGCCTGGGAATCTGAATTTCTAACAAGTTCCCAGGAGATGGATGCTGATGCTGGTAGACTGGGTGCCACACTTCGACAAGCTCTGCTTTCTCTCATTGAAGCCCTAAACTGTAGCAGGCCATTCAGCTTCTAAGGTGTCCCATTTTATTTATTTGAGCGTTCTTTGTATCCTTTGCCTTGAAAAATCCAGAAGTGACAAGAGGACTTGAATGTATGAATATAAGGAAGCAATTATCACCTGAGCTCGCACACAGCAGTTTGTAAAAGTCCCTTTTGTTCCCTGTAGCATATGTTTGGGGAGAGGCCCATATCAGAGAGACCAGTAGAGGCCCATTCAAGAATGTAATTAGAGATAACGATGCCTGCCTGTGGGATGCTTGTCACGGTACAGAGCTGCATCCAGCGGCCCCATCACTCAGCGTGGCGGTGATCCTTGGCATGGAGCTAAATGGAACGGTGACTTCAGAATGACAACATTGATCCTGACTTTAGACTGAGCTCAGGAATTACTGTGTTCTCAGGTTTCACTGCGTGTCTGGTATTGTACAAATTCTTCAGGTTTTCTTGCTCCACATAAGCCTTTTTAAACTCAAAAATAGTTCTACATGCTGAATGGGGTCTCTGACACAATGCCAGCACAACCGCGGGTGACTGACTAGATTTCTTCTTGTGGTTGGGTATCCTCAGCCTCACTTTGAGAGCAGGAGCTTAGGAAGAGGGGATGATTGTGCTTTGTATTATTTTTCAAAGTACGTTCACATCTTTCACCTCATCCTGTCTGTCACGGGTATTAATGCCAGAGCCAGGAAGAGGATCCAGGTTTCCTGAGCCTCAGCCCCATGTTCAGTCCTCATGCTGCTGCAATGATTTATCTCAATCTCTAGACCAAGGCCTAGAATGCTCTTCCACTGATGGAGGAGACATAGCTAGAGAGACAGACACACAGAGAGAGACAGAGAGAGGGAGAGACATAGAGAGAGAGAGAGGGAGAGACAGATAGACAGAGACAGAGAGAGGAAGAGAGAGAACAAAAGGATTGAAGGAGGAGAAAGAAACAGAAAACAGAGGACAAGCAAAGGAAGAAAAGAGAAAGAAAGCCCAAAGGAAACAGACCCTGAAACCCTCAAAGGGAGCCACATCCTTCCACGTCAGTGGCAGGATTAATAGTCTAGTTCCCTTGGGACAGAAACATCTGCCTAAGCCTGAGGGAAGTTTGGGGTGTCCCAGGGTGGTGAGCATTACGAATGGCAGCTGTCATCACTTTCTCTCCTTTGAGTGAGAGCAGCGTGGCTCAGTTTCCCTCCTGCAGCCACTTCTGTCCTGGTTGAAAGGCTCTGAGACAGCCACGTCTGCAGGGTTCCTCACACTGTCTACAGGGTGTACTCAGGGTTATATTGGGGAAGGGTGGCTAGGAAACAACATGGATATGTTGACCAACTCTTGGCTCTCAGGAGTCCCACAAAGCCCCCAGAGTTATTCTTGGTTAGACCAGATAAAGACAGGAGAGAACAGAAACGACTTTTCCCATTGTTTTCAGTGTCAGCTTGACTATTATAGGATTTAGATTATGACATTGTTCCACAGGGAATGAGGTCAATGTACTATTTGAATGGTGAAGTGATATTTTTCAGGACGTAAAATAAGATGAATTATGTAAACAGGCTGTAACAATAGTCAGTATGGCCAGCTGTAGGGGCAGAGAATGAAGAAGCAGGGATGCCCGGCATATGGGATGCACCACGCTTTGTTTTGACTTTTCGGATCAGGAACCGTCTTGCTTTGTCCAAGGATCTCTTATTCCTTGTCTGTGCTCGTCTTGCTCTCTCTACCCACATAGGTGTCTCTTGAGGGCATCGGGCCCCTGGCACAGGAGCTGGCACACTGCAGGTGTTCAATGAGTGAGTTGGGTAACGCATGGTCAGGGAGCTTCTGCCCTGGGAGAGCTAGAGCAGACGCACTTGACCATTTATTTGGTGGAACATGGGAGTCATGGATAAGGTGGATGGTTAGACTCCGTGACTCTAAGACGCCTCCAAACTCTGAAATTCCATAATTCTTATGCATATAGAAAACTTCAGAAATGCCAATATCTGCATCTGAAAGGACATTTATGAAAGATGTATGGTATATTTGTTTCTCAGAGGCTTATAAATAGCACTATCTGGAACTAATTTTAACATAGTCCCCAATTTTTTATTTTCTTATTTACTTAAATTCTATTTTGATGCCACAAGTGGAAACCATAATCTTTGATGACTCTTATTACTGTTGTATCTTATTTCACAAAATTGAAAGGGCATGTTTTTAGAATTCCAAAAGAAAGTTAACTTCTTCAAATGGAATGAATATCAGCAAAACATAAATTGCCTCTACCCAAGATCCGTAGTAAAAAAGGATCAGAATTCGGTCTTTCAAATCTTTCTGCCATATCAGCTATCAATGCATAGCTCTGAGGAAGCACATAAAGCTTAATAAATGGTTTCCCATGGACATAATGTTTGGTTGTAAGTAAAGGAAAAAAAAATCTTAAGTTCTGCAGGTGAGAAAAAGATGAAAAGGAGCAAATATCATTACTATGAAGTAAAAGAAAACAAAAAATATTTGACTTCTAACAACCATCATTGTTTTGTGGAAAACAAAAAAGCAAATATCCAGTGGCACCAGCGTTTGTGAGATTTGCCACGTTCTGGGTTCTTGAGGAAAAGAACTAGGGGCTTGATAAGAACAGTATAGCACTCTGCAGAAACTTAATTCTCACTGAAGCAAAATGACCCCGTCAGGAATTTCCATATTTATCATAGTTCATGGGGACTGGAGGCTGGGACCTGTTCAGAAATATTACATGTGTTTCAGAAAGAAACTTAGAAGAAATAACATTCCACATAAAACGTTACATAAACTCAAGCTTTAGCCAATTCTGGCAGAGTCTTTTTTGCCTGAGGAAGATTTGCCCTGAGCTAACATCTATTGCCAATTTTCCTCTTTTTGCTTGACAAAGATTGGCCCCGAGCTAACATCTGTGCCAGTCTTCCTTTATTTTGCATGTAGGTTTCTGCCACAGCATGGCCACTGACAAGTGGTGTAGGTCCACGCCTGGGAACCAAACCTGGGGGGCCAAAGTGGAGTGCACTGAACTTAACCGCTAGCCCCTGGGCCAGCCCAGACATGGAGTCTTCTTTCCTGTTTGATAGTACTTTGTATCAACCCACAAATAACTTGCTGATCATAAATGGGAAGCATATCTTTACAAAGAAGGGGTACAGTTGTCATCATTGAACCCACTGATCAGTTTTCATCTCACTAGGAGTGAGAGGATAAGACCTTGGGGCTCCAATGTCATGCATTATGGGTACACAGCATCATTATCAAGTATTCTTACCAAAAAGTTTGAACCCAAATTTAATCAAGCCTTTACATCTAACTTAGGGGTTTATAGGAAATACAAGGGATGGAAGAGCTGGTTAAACAATACCATGAAGAAGCCAGCAGAGGAATCCAGAATGTGGAACCTTCTACAATATACCTGATCCATCTTGTCAACAAGTCAATGGCATGAGGAAAAAATGGCATCTGTGTGTCGATGGGAGAGAAACTGTTGATGATGATTAGAGTCTAAGGGTACAGAACAAACCAATGCAACCTGTGGAACATTTTTGGATCCTGATTAAAACGAACCAACTGCAAACATTGGGGGGATGGTTGCGGGGAAATTAGAATATTGGATGATATTAAGGAATTGCTACATTTTCTTAAGTGTGATATTAGCATAGCTGTTACGCAGAAAACTGAGTTTAATTTTTAGAAAGATATGCTGGACTATTTAGGGAATAAATAGCCTTTAAAATACTTCAGCAGGTTTCTGTGTAGACAAAGTATCAATAAATTCCCTTCATGATTCAGTCAGTTTGAACTGAGTTTTCTTGACAGTATGTTTCAATTTTCTACTGGAAAGGGAAAAAATGAAGATTGAGGAGAGAAGAGGGAGAGGGGAGAATTTCTAGAGCACTGTCCCAGAGGAGGCAAGAAGAATTAGGATCCAGTGCAGGGCTAGCTGCTCAGAGGGACCCACGGCCCCACACCAGCCTACAAATTGTTACTGACCCCTAACAAGATAAGTACAGAAGTTGAGAGTACACTTTTTGAAACTTTTATAACAATTTGACAGAGTAATTTTATGCCCATTGAATCTAATAATTAAAAAAGTGGGGCTTATAAAAAATGAGTTTTCTGTTACTTAAAACAGAAAGATTCATAACTGACGTGATGTTTGTTATTGTACCGTGACTGTTTCTAGGGTCTTACCTTGGGTCCTTGGATGCACCTCAGGAGGTCTGTGCACCCCTTGCAGCTGTTTGCCAAATGGAATTGTATGCAAATACACACACGCAAACGCATTCATACGTATGTCATACATGTGCTGCACACGTCTGTCAATAGCTCTCCTCAGATTCTCATAGCGGTCCATGACCCAAAAAATGTTGAAGAACCCTTGCCCCAGAGTTGCCTTAGAGTAATTCTCCCCACTCTGCTTAGAGTTGCCTGTATGGACACTTTTTTTCCCAGATGTCCAGATTTTAAACTTCTCAAATGCTAATTCCCAGCTCTACATATTTGTGTGGCCCCATCACCTATAGTCCTTAAATTACAAATGTCTTTGGTTGTTCTTCTCATCACTCTGCCCAAAGGGAGCCCTTAAAATGAACATTTCGTGGAGACCAAGCTTCCCCATGACAGACAAGCTCCCGCACACCCCAGTCGAGTGAGAGGCAGGGCTGTGGGAGCCATCTACAGCCTCAGGCACTGAGCACTCGTTCTTGCTCATCTCAGTTCCACCAGGTCGGCAGCCTCCATTTGAACAATAGTTCTTGGCTTAGCAACTCACCACACGATTAACTGTTTAAACAAATTCCAGAAAGCACATCAATTATTACTAATGAATTCCAAATCAAATCATCCAGAACTACAAAGGGCTGCCAGATGTTCCAGGCGAGGAGCAAAGAGGGGCTGGAAGGCGTGGGGCGAGGGCAGCTTCTTTCCCACCGCTCTATTAACTCGGATCTGAAAGCTGTAATTTATCAGGCAGCCGACATCAAGAGACATCACACACATTTAAAACTATTTCTTGGAGATTATTCTAATATGAATTTCACTGTGGAATATTACTTCCTATGGATATCATACTTGGCAAAAACTTTTCAGACCTCTTTTACGTGTGTATCTCATTTTATCCTTACAGCATCTTAGTGACTGTGACTCTTTCCGATTTTTCTGGATGAGTAAATTAAGGCAAAGTGGAACACACAGGGTTTTTTTTTTTTTCTCCTTTTTTTTATAGTAAGACTATGTTTAGAAACCAGATGTTCTGAGATTATTGTTGGACACTGCCACTTCCAAACTACCAGTGAGCTAATAGACATAAAAACTTTCCAAGGAGTAAAGTCACAGGGCCCATATGAAAGGCACACAGTGGGTTTTAAGGTGTGTATCTGAATGAGAGATGCAACCTGAGTGAGGAAATGAACCTGCAGGGGCTCGAAGTGAGAAAGTGGGATGGCCGTGGGCAGTTGAAGGTCCCCAGTGGCTGTGCCCATGCTGGAGGGACAAGTTTCAGAGGATCTTTAGGCACCAGGATACCATCAACAAAGACATGGGAAAGTGTTTCCATTGGGAAGAGCGTCCGCTCATCGGTGGTGAAGGGCAGCAGAGCTGGACCCTCTTTGAGCAGCTTGACTTACCCTGGAGGCTGGTCCCATTATCAAGATGGCTTAAAGTTTCCCACTGGACTTGTGTCTAAAACAAACTCCTTTCAAATGGCTGTGAGATCAGCATTAAGCAAAATATGGACGACTTACTAGGTAATTAATAGACTTGGGAGCAAGAAATAGGGGATCATGGCATTTGAGACCACGAAGGGACCTGAAAACACATGGTTCAACTCATTCACCTCTCAGGTGAGGGAACCCGCGTGCAGAGAGGTTGAGGGGTTCCCCAAGGGTACATACCTTTCAGATATTAAGGCGATCATATGTTAACGAATTGTTTTCTTCTGCTTATTCTCATTTTAAATATTCACATATCTCCAGTGGGCTTTAAATATTTAAAACTCGTGGTCTCAAATGTTGGAATGAATAAGATTTGTGTTGGTTTTTGCCTCTTCTGCTACATACTTGTTCAAACAACCAAATTTTCTTGAAAGGTAGATTTCTAAATTTTTTTTTTTTTAACAATAACACATGTTAAATATCTCAAAAAGGGTCCAAAGTTACAGGCTCATGTAGAGGAAAGTCTCCGTGGCTACACTTGTTTCTTCTGGGTCGGGACTGCTACGTAAGGCCAAATTTTTGTCTGAGAGTGCATTTCATGTTGCATTCCATCTCTACAATACATTTGATTTATAAACTCTAAAAATAAGACATACTTTAGGAAGAACGTGGGCTTGGTCAGAGTGAAAGCAATGGAATAAACAATCTCTTGCAATTATGAACATTCCCAAATGATTTTTCAGGGTGATTGTCAAGCCAAGAACTACAAAAGCCATTTTCTGTAATTTTCACTGTATGAATCAATGCGAAAAAAAAGAGAAAAACCCTACGTACTGACTCAAGGACATATTCGTTTGTTTTTTCACTCCAAAGTCAGCTTTCTGACCATACGCTTTTTTGAGAAGCAATGAGGTGATGGTACAATTAGAACGACACCTTTCCTTTCTCGTCTTCTTTTTCTCTTCTTTCTTGGATTTTAAGTTAACTTTTATTTTAAAATTATAATACATAAACATGCACATTAACAATTTTAAGTTTTTAGCATTTAGGTTATTATTTTGAATTTTAAGAATTAAAAAAAGAAATATCAAAATGCAGAGAAAACTGTCTACCTCCATCAATTTCTCTTCTGATAAATATGAGGACTCTCTTTGTCTCTATGGGCACCAATGGTTAGGCACCATGCTTGAAGTAACTCAAACCTGATGTTTCTATAGAGTAATGGCTTTGAAAGATATGCCCACACTCTTGAGAAGTAGATGTGCTGAGTGAAGGCACCAACCAGGCCTCCTGACTCATCAAAACCTTGTGTTTAAGGCCTACTTTCCAATAGAGTAGTCATTCAACATTTATTGAGCCTCAGCCATGTTCAGGAGCTGGATTTCAAAGATGAGAAAGACACAGTCCCTGCCTTACAGGAGGTTCCAGTCCCAAAAAGGAGACAGCTAAATGGACAGTATGGCCTCACATTGTAACATGCACCAAGATGAAGAAATAATAGTAATAACAGCTAACATTTATGAAATGCTTGCGAGGGCACGGCGTGGGGCTAAGAACGTACATAGTACTGAGAGAGCATGGAGAAGGGATAGAAGTAGTTAGGAAGACGGAACATTTTGCTGTATATGAAAACAAACGTATGCTGTCCACCCATCACACAGAAAAAAGAAAAAAGAAAGAGAAAAAATTGGTGATATATGACAGAAGAAAGATCGTAGCGTGGTACAGGAGAATGGACCAAAGTCAGATGGATTTAACGCCAGTTTATTTTCATTACCTCATAAAACCTAAAACAGCAGATATTTCTGAGCCTTACTCAGTTTTGCTGTTGCTCAGAAAGTCAAAGAAGTGAGGGTCTGGAGTGGACCCAAGTATCTTTGGTTAAACAAAACAGCTGGAGTTTAACGCTCTTTTTTCTCCACTGCAAAATGTTCCCAACCAAAATGGCTCTGGCATCACCGTGGATGTTGAAACAGTCTCATCAAAACACATGGCTTTCAAGTAAGTCTACAGAACTGGGTTAGCCTGGGTTAAGCCTCCTGAGGGGCTGGCTGTTTGACCCTGGATAACTTTTCTAAGTGACTCTCAGTTTCTTCCTCTGTGGAATTCAACTGAGAATACCTAACTTGCAGGGCTGCTCTAGAAATTAAATGAGAGACAAATAAAGTATGGTACCCAACACATGATACTCAAGATTGGAGCTATTATTAGTGTTATTATTCAGTCACTCTAGTCTCCAGACGACAGCCCAACACCTTGACAACTGGGAGCCAGACTCAGATTCCTGAATTCACCTATGTATGTGTGTGTGTGTGTGTGTGTGTGTATGTGTGTGTGTCTACTGGGCATGGAACACAAAGGAAGTGAAACAATGGATCAGTCTATCCCGGGGTTCCTCAACCTTGGCACTATTGGGATTTTGGACTGGGTGATTCTTTGTTGTGGGGACTGTCCTGAGTTTTGTAGGGTTGTTAGCAGCATCCCTGAAGATGCTTAGCACCATCTACCACTAGACACCCTCTCCAGTTGTGGCAACCAAAAATGTCTCCAGACATTGCCAAATGTCCCCTTGGGGGGCAAAATCGCCCCCGGTTGAGAACCGCTGCTCTACATAGCGGTCTTTTACTCCCATGTTGTCAACCAAATAAATGATGGACAAGGGAACCTCTGGATGGGAGATCGGAATGATAACTGACTGAGCCTGTCTGAATCAATGTTGTATTAAAGGTTTCCAACATCTGCTGAGTCAAAACAAAAACTCACTTCAAATGACAGACCCGGCTAATGTTATCTGCAGGCTTTCACTCAACACTCTTAGAAGCACAATGATCTTGGTCTTTTGAGGCCAAAATGCTGCTTCTAGAACAATCTCACTCTCCAACTCTGACCCAGCCACCACTGTCTTTCCTCCTTGCAAGGCAGCTCCCTGCTCTGCATTTGTGCACAGTGACCTTGCGACCTTCCCATTGTGTTCACCTCGTTGAACTCTTCTTCTCTTTGCTCCCAAGCAGACACACTCTTGACCTCTCTCTTGTTCCTCAAGATGTCTCCGGTCTCCGCCCTCCACCCCAGCTGAAGGAGCCTCCCACATCCTTCCTGTCCCATTAGCCCCGTCTCTTCCTTACAGAACCCTTTCCAAACCCTACTCCACAGGGACATCATTCTTAACTCTGTCTAGCGATCTCTCTTCCCTCCAGCAACTTTCCCATGACCATATCTATCCACCCCTTGATGAACAGATTCTGAGAAGAGCATCCTTTGATAACATGCCTAGTGGAGTAACAAGCAATTTCATTAAATGTAAGGAAACATTCGCAGCTCTCTGCCCCTTTTCTGAGCTGAATTTGCACAGCAGTTGTGGTGAATTTTGTAGTTGTTTCTGATATTTATCTTGATCAAACATCCACTTGTTCTAGGTCTACTGATATTTAAAAAATTAATGTCTATACATTAGATGATTGGCTATTTACAAAGTCCATTTAATATCAGATGCAAACCACAGAATTGAGCCCATGCCCTCAGGCGATTTGTTCTTTGCCA